CACAAAACGCTGAGACCACTAAACTAAGAGCTTTTCAAAAAATAACATGGTTTGAAGTTCAGTCGCTGATTGATATACTGTGGTGAGAGCTGGCTGCTAGCCAAATTGGTAGACAGTAATTTACGTCAATGTTTACGTCCCAAATATTGGTTGTGAGAAAAATAAGAACAAAGACTGATTCAACAACCAACCACAGCAGACTTTGCGTAGGCGGATACAATTTGCAGATAGATAATCTGAACTCCAAGAAACAGTCACAAAGAGATGAAAGATTAACTTTAAGTGAGAAACAACCAATCAGAAGACGTTGTTTGTTCGCTTACAATAATCTATAATAATGTACATGGAAAACTATAAATATCTGTTGATTTCCTAAATAAACGATCTGTTGCCTGGCCCTTGTCTTCTGTTGTTACGATGCTACTTGAAATCAAGGAGTACCAGATGGCTACTTGTCCCAGTTTAGGGCTCTTCATCAGTATGCACGAAGTTACCTAGAATTCCAGTGAGAAGTTGTGACCGGTTGCATCCACCAGTTCAGATGTGAAGAAAATTACCCATCGATAACACTGTCCAGCGGTCGACAAAAGGTAGAATTCCTGGGCTGGCCATTAGACTCCATCCTGTTGGCTCATTACTCAATACGCTTGGCCTCGTAACCTGAAGGTCCTGGGTACGACCTCCAGGGGTCATGGATGCATGCTGCTGATGACTCCCAAACTAGGATAGAATTTCCATCCAGCATCCCCTGGTTTCCAATGGTTTTTCAACAGATATAAATCCATGATCCAAACAGAAATCAATCAAATCCCTGCCAACTAATGGCACTCATATAAATAAGATGGTTCAGTCAATTAGCCTGACATTTATACTTACACTGTCGAAAGGTGATTCGCCAAAAAAATACTGAATGATGCATGTATTCTCTACACATATTAGTAATTAAAATCCACAGTCTTTTAGATATAAACGTCTTAACTTAATAATTAGTGTAAAACGGTACGAATCAAGTTAGAGAGGTTAGAAATAGCCCAGAAAACAAATATCTTCAGGTGTCAATCTTCATTAATGGCACTGCAACTGTTTGAAGATGAGTTTTTCCAATTGCATCTACGCATACACTTAACCCTGATATCATTTGATATATCCAATAGAATGTTGATTAATCTGACTGAATGCAAACAAAATTTTAACACAAAAAAACACTCTTCGCAAATCATTCGATTCTTATTAATATTGCTCCTACTTATTCACCTTTATGATGATTTTAACAAACTAGTGTGTTAAACTGAACATACTATAAGAAACGTAATTTTTTTTTAGAACTGCAACCTAGAAACATTTAAATTTGAATAGTGTTATTTATTTACTTGAACCTTATACCTAATGGCATTTTTCTGATTCAAATGGATCTCGTTAACAAAACAGTGTGCATAAATAATTGCAGAACCTGAAGAGAAAATGCATCCAAGAGAATGTTTTTTGTTCACCAAGCTGGGCTTTCGATTAATATGTACAAGAGTATCGAGGTAGATGAGTTCTAAGTGGAATACAAGACTGAAAAGATTCAAAGTTTCAGGAGTAGTGGAGTCGCTAGCCTCTAAAGCCACCCAATCTACTTTTTTTCCGGGTTTACCATAGCCTAGTAAACTGAAAGTGGTTTAGGAATGCATCGTTTGGAAATCAGAGCAGGATGACGTTCGCAGCTGGTGGGGGTTCTCTACCAGTGAACCACCGACACACAACGCGCTATCTACTGGTTCTGACTAAGCATAGAACTTTGCACAGAAATGGAGCAGTTCAAGTTCCCACAGTCCAGGTAACACTCAAAGGAAGAAGGAGACATAAAAAATAGATATTCCAAAGGACGATAACGAGGAGAAATGTGAGGGAGAAGGAATAGTAACACTGATCCCGTGGCCTGCTTAAATTACTGGGCTACCGGAATTTTCATCCATCAAAATGCCTAAACTCTTCTGCATTTCTTGTTTTAATCATGTAATTGTACTAGATAACCACTAAATGAACTCGCGCGTATTTTTAATTAGCTTCCCACTAAACGCTGTGCCACTCTCTCTTCATATGCAACAAAGCTACGTCACATGATATACTACAGATTATTACGCTACAAGTAAATCTTGCATGAAGAGGAAATATTTTGGAACTAAATACGCTGAAAATTTCTGTACACGTTCCTATTCAAGTACTACTACCTGAAATCAAGCTTTATAATTAAAAAAAACAATAGGGTTAAATTGATATACCAGGTCATAAACAGTGAATGCATCTGCTTCACTGAGAACGATTTCCAGCCATATAACCAATTGTCTCCAGCCATTAGTTCTCAGAATGCCAAAGACACCAACCAAGTAGCCTACACCTTCCTACGTGGCTGGCTCAAATTAACTATCAAGAATTGATTCCAGGTTCTGGTTTGACCACCACTAGCTCTTTTCCAACCGCATCCATCCTATGTCAGCTAACAGTGCCCGTAAAGGAAGGCGATGGCTAGAAATGCATGCGTAACACATGTCCTAACCATCTCAGTCGATGTAATTTCACAGTCTCGTCGACTGATTTCCCCTCCCACCTACCTAGCACTCGACGCCTAACCTCAATATTGCTCACCTTATTATACCACTTCACGCGGGAGATAGAACGCAGACACCTATGATCGAAGACAGCTAATCTTTTCATGTCTTCCGCTCTCAATGGCCTGGTCTCACAGCCATAAAGGAGGGCGGAGCGGACTGTTGAGCAGTACAACCGTCCTTTGGTCGATAGTCGGATATCGCGTCTACGCCAGAGACGGCGTAAACTGGTATATGCGAAACTAGCCCTCTGTATTCGTGCTGAGATTTCGTCGGAGATCAACCCGTTGGCACTGGCTGATGGTACTTCCCAAGTAAGTGAAGCGGTCAACGTGCTCTACCACTTCACTTCCTATTTCTAATTTAGGAGTCGGTGTAGTCCAATCCTGTAACATCATCTTGCATTTGGCGGGAGCGAATCGCTTGCCAAACATTCGTAGATTGCAGCTCAAGGTGTTCAGAAGACTCTGCATTTTGTCAGCGTCCTCGCCTAGAAGGACTACATCGAGATTATTCCCTGGTAGCAAGTCGATTCCTGAGTCTCTGAAGTGATTTGGGGTTAAGTCCATTAGTACATCTATGATGAAATTGAATAGAAATGGGCATCCTTGACGGACGCCACTAGTCGTCACCACTTCAGATGACAACTCGCCATAAGCCCTCACCTGGCTACATGAGTACGAGTAGAGTGCCTTAATCAGTGCAATGTATATTCTCGGCATTCCCTTTACAGCCAAACATCGCCAGAGAACCTTTCGGTCGACAGAATCGAATGCCGCCTTTCGGTCAAGAAATATAATGATTGTTGGACCCCGGTAGGAATGCCTGTGTTCTAACATCTGTCGAAGGGTGGAGATATGATCAGTACACCCTCTTCCTGGTCTAAAGCCTGCTTGGTTCTCTCGTGTTTGTGCCTCCCAAGCACCACTTAGTCTACGCAATATTATTGAGCCTAGAACTTTAGATACTATATTAGTCAAGCTAATCCCTCTGTGATTATCACAGGAAGACTTGTCCCCCTTCTTGTATATCGGGATAATCAGTGACTTACACCAACCCGACGGGACTTCCCCACCCTTACCTAACACCCTCAACGCCTAACCTCAATATTATTCCCCCTATTATACAGGAGATGGAGAACACAAACACCTATGATCAAACATAGCCAAGTTTTTTTCCACTAAGCCAATTCATGCTTCATATAACAGGTAATATAAGGTAACTATTTCACCGAGAAATTTGGCAAAGATTCGTCGTCAATTAAAAGTATGCATATCCCTTTGAAAACTAATCAAGGCTATCATCGTGAAAAAGAAAGTCCGCTAGAAAAGGCATTCCTGTCATCATCCTCATTATTATTATTACTATTATTATTATTACTGATATAATTTAATACTGAGAGTAATTACTTTTGTATTATTATTGCTATTATTACTGATGTAATATGTATATCAAATAAACATATTTAAAAGAAGGAAAAAACAGAACAAAAACAAAAAACAATTTGAATCTAAACAACTGTGTTAAACGGTATCCAGCAGTAATAATAATAACAATAGTAATAATAATAATGGTAATATAAATGTCTCAATTGTCTCGTCAATACAATACAGTAGAATAACAAAGTAAGGCGTAATCGTCGTTATTAACAAAAGTAATAAAATTTTCTTTAAAAAAAAAAAGAAAGATACAGTCCAAATTGATTGTTGTGATGATACTTAACACCTACGACTTTTTTTAAAAAATGTGCTAGGCTGTGCTGTTGTCTGAGAAAAAAGAAAAATTATGTAAGTATGATCATCATAAACAATACACACACAGAGAAAAGAAAATCAACAACAACATCTCATTCACTGTCACCTTAGATTATGTATGAATGAACCACTGACAATACACACCGTGTGTGTGTGTGTGTGTAACGGCAGCAACAACGTGATTTCAGTGTTGAACTATGATGCTGTAGAAGACGCGTCAGTCAGTCAGTCAGACAGCAGTTACAACAGATGGAGGGGATCACGGAATCGAGAGAGAGAGAGAAAAAAAAGTAATCAATAATTATGAGACTGATCAGGGATCAGGATAGATGAATTTATTTGATGGAATTCGTTCATTTATTCTACTTATGAGCTTCTGGATGGATGACTAACTAACTGATTGTTTCATCGAAATTGTTCTTTTAATTTGTAATATAAAAAAAGATAATTAATTAGTAAGTATTGATCAAGAGAAAAGAAAGGAGCAAAGTCGACAATTGTTCAGTGTTTGAGTAGTCGAAGTATAGTTCTTAAGGCAAGTAGAGTAGAAAACACTATCATTTAAAGAAATGAAAAATAGGTGTGGGGGGGAAAGGGGTGGTTTCAGTAAAAATACACAAAAATGATTACAAGAGAGTCAAAAATAAGAATAGTGGTAGAAAATATCTGCTCCGAATATATCGAGTTTCGACATCAGAACTCGGGTGTACAGATGACTTCAACTGTTGTCTTTTTCTAAACAGAAATCAATATGTATATGTATCTTTAAAACACCTAAATGTTGTAATGTGAGATTTGATAGGGAATAAAAGTAAATCGTATGGATATACACCTCATATTCCTCATTATTATTATTATTATCATATCCCTTCTCCCTGCAGAGAGTTCATACAGTAGAAAAGCCTGTTGCATTGGCTAAAGCAGAATTAAGTGCCATACTTCGATTAGCTGATATAGCAAACAATGGAATATGATAATATTTGCACGGTACACGTGTACATCTGCCTTTAGCTGCATCACGACATACAATTACACGTCCTTGATTGACTTCAACATTTTCTAAATATATTAAGGATAGAAAGATAAAAACAAAACAAAATTTTTTTTAAATATGAGTAAAATTTGTTGTGTAACTGCTATATATTCTATTTCAACTTCACTAATTCTTGTTGAATAACACTCAGTCTAGGTATAACACATTACATTATATAAATTATGTGTTTTTGTAGGGAATTTCGATTAATTTCAAATTTCTACAAAATCCGAAAATCTAAATATCAATCTCCAGCCGATTGACGGCTACTGGATGAATCTCGTGAAACTGTACAAAGAACTCTCAACCAGTGGAGTCCACGATGACAACGTGAAATGGGTGCTAATCGAAGGCATATCATCATCATCATCACGAACTGAAAAAGTCCGAATTCACAGGTCATTGAATTCCTGCCCAAGTGGCTGATTAATAAACGACTTCCGTCTAGTAATTTGAAGGCCCACGGTACGGCCTCCAGTGGGGTTGTGTGTACCTCTGAAGAGTTCCAAACTAGAATAAAACAACTGCCCGGTGCTTCCTGGTGTTTTCAATGATCGTGAAGTTCTATGAATATAGCGAAATTGATTATGAGCAATAAATTATTCTCAGAACGTTATCCAGTCATTAATCCTGGACATTGCAGTGTTTTTTATCAAATAAACCTATGTAAAATGACTGATAACCTCTATAATAATGTCAAACAATAACCATGTCTCTTCCTCTAGTGCTTGGTTAATTGAAAAAAACACAGCTAACTTCCAATATTCTTTCGTTTTACCCACGATCACTCACACGCTTTGTTTTCTGGAGACAGTTGGTGATATGGTTCAGAATCGTTCTCAGTGGCAGGCGTAGATGCATCCACTCTTTGCGATTTATCATATCCAATAAAATTCTGTTGTTCTTCCATATTACTATTCTTTTTGCCTTATATTTCTGTCCGTTATCTCTCTTTTCAATCTTTCTCTCTCTCACTCTACTCTCTTCTCTTGCTTTGTGTGCTACGTGGATGGATTGTAGCAACTGGAACTGCTGCACATCTGTGCAAAGTTTTACATTGAAACCAGTCAGTCAGTCGAATCTTCATCAACCTTAATATTTTAATTACCGTTTTTACATTTGGATTTACTTTGCTCAGCCCTATCCACATAATTCAACCCAGAAGCTAGAAATTCACTTTCACATAAAAGTGATTTTTTTATCCCACATCCCATATGTTAAATCATAAGACATCTAATGAAATATATGTCTGTCTGTCTATTTTCGACATAGAACTTTGCACAAATGTGCGACAGTTCAAGTCGCCACACTCCATGTAGCACACAAAGCAAGAGAAGAAAGTAGGAGGAATGCATAATAATATAGACAGTAAACAGAGGTGTGAGATAAAGGTATAGTAATAACGAAGAACAAAACAGTTTAATTGGAAATCATAAGTCACAAGGAGAGGATGCATCTGCACCAGCCAGCCATTGAGAACGATTTTGAGCCATATCACCAATTGTTTCCAACCATTGGTTTTTACCATCCCGAGGACCCCATCTAATCAGGAAGTTTACACCTTCCTACGTGGCTTAGACTAACTGTTGTAGATTTCATTGACTGGTGCCATGTTTTCGTTTGACCGCCGCTAGCTCTTTTCCAGCCTGACCCTATATCAGCTAACATAACCCATTGTCGAGGAAGGCGATGACTAGGCGTGCATGAGTAACACATGTCCTAACCATCTCAGTCGATGTAATTTCACAGTCTCGTCTATTGATTCCCCCTCCTTGCCTAGCACTCGACGCCTAACCTCAATATTGCTCACATTATTATACCACTTCACGCGGGAGATAGAACGCAGACACCTATGATCGAAGACAGCTAATCTTTTCATGTCTTCCGCTCGCAATGGCCAGGTCTGACAGCTGGCCATAAAGGAGGACGGAGCGGACTGTTGAGCAGTACACACGCCCTTTGGTCGATAGGTGGATATCGCGTCTACGCCAGAGACGGCGTAAACTGGCATATGCGAACCTAGCCCTCTGTATTCGTGCTGAGATTTCGTCAGAGACCAACCCGCTAGGGCTGATGGTTCTTCCCAAGTAAGTGAAGTGGTCAACGTGCTCTACCACTTCACTTCCTATTTCTAATCTAGGGGTCGGTGAAGTCCAATCCTGCAGCATCATCTTACATTTTACAGGGGCGAATCGCATGCCAAACATACGAAGATTGTTGCTCAAGGTGTTCAGAAGACTGCATTTTGCCAGCGTCCTCGCCTAGAAATGAAATATATATATTTTTTCTGTTCATTACCAAATAAATATTATATTTTTCAGGTGTTGAATTCTAGGAATTTGACTGCCTTCAAATTAGATACGGTGGATTGAAAACAGTTGAGAAAACCGCTGAAAACTAGAGAATACTGGATAATTGTTTCGTCCTCGTTTGGAACTCTTTAGTATAGTACGTAAGGTATCAAAAACTCAAGCAAGCCTATTGAATAATATTCAGCTACTGGGATGAAATCCAACGGTCGGGTCATAAATTCTATCTTTTACCAACTTAAAACACATAGTGCAACCACCATCTAATGTTACTGATGAGTGTTCGACCGCACACCCAACTTGGTGGACGCCACTGGCTACAACTTTTCACTAAAACTTCCGGAGACTTCATCTTATAGTCAGTGACTAGTGAATATTAGATTCATTTTCAAATGCTGATGTTTGCAAGAATTCGACTGAATCCAAGCTACACGTCATAAACTGATTCAGAGAGAGAACCATTGAAAATCAGAAAGTACTGAACAGCTGTTTCATATCATATGTGTGTTGATTGTGTGGTGTGTCGACAAAACAACTTTGCACAAGATCAGTCCTACTGATCTCCAGAAAAGATATCTCTTATTGACTGGTGTGAAGAATGCACGAACTTATCTATGCTCAGTCTCTCCATGCAACAGTTAAAAATTCATCTAGTAACCACAAGTAAGCTATTAGTTATGTTTATAGCAAGAAATAAGAAAGGACATGCAAAACAATAATAGTGTTGAATACTCACCGTCAACAAGATGAACATAACGACACTCTGAATTACGACGGCATTTACCAGCTTTAAAATCACGACATATCGGTAAGGTTTCCAGCAGCTGAAAATAACAAACATATCAGAAGAAAATAAACGACCCAAAGAACAAGTATTCATAAAAGATTGACATCATTAAAAAGACATTTCTTGTCAAACTATAAATTGAACTCCCACCAGAGTTTCTTGTTGCTAATTCTTCCTGGGCGGCCGGCCATTTCACCTTCAATATGGAGCCAGCGAAGGTAGATCTTGATAAATGTCTGTAGCTTGTTGGAAATCCTTTTCGTGACACACTGACCAATTTTCTGACCCTTATAGAAGAATTGACTGACTTAACTTTTGTATTGAACAGATTCCGAATCTTGTTTCTTATGCCACGGAATGTAGAAAATTTCCAAACTGGTTTCAGGTTGATGGAGGCGTATCTTGTCTTTCTGATTCTCGACAACACAATAAGAAGACGTAGTTTATCTGAAACGTGTAATGCAATGGCGCAACACATTTCGGACATTCTGATCACACACGTACTTGTCATACACAGTTTTTATATAATGCAAGAAGACATGAATAATTACAATACAGGTCAGATTGTATACAGGTCAAGGTCACAAATAATGGGTAGGGAGACGCAGAAGGTGTGGGTAAGAAAGATAAAAGGAGAGAAAAAGAAGGGGTTGAAAATATTTTGAAGTAAATTGGTCCTTGGTTCTAAATTGGATTACCAAGGCAGGTTTAAGGTGATAACAAAGAATTTTTGGACACATAAGACAGGTTTAAGTCTTTTTATGGCTAAGGTTTCAATGAATTTAAGTATGTGGCCCAACCTCGTTTTATATATCGGCTTAAAGGCATTGTTGAAATCAACCTGATGACCCGTCTCTATAATATGCTTCGTTGTAGATGATGTTGGACATTTCCGGGTTCACTTGTGTCTGGAGATTTCAGTTGTTGTTGCAGCCACTTTGGAATGTGTTATGTAGCCCTAACCTGCAGAGACCGATGGGTCCTCCCTATGTACGTGTCTCCACACATACATGTAAACTGATTCTGGCTGGCTTTTACATCTTCATCCATGCTGTCGCCTGTGATTGAAACGATGCTACTGCTGCTGCTGGATTCAACATAGAACTTGTCACCGAAGTGAAGCAGTTCGAGTTGCCACGTTCCAAATAGCACACAAAGGTAGACAAGAAGATGAGTGAAGAGAATCAATAGAGTTTTGACAAGTATAAGAGTGAAACAGAATGAGTAATGGTAGAAAGGAATATGATAGATTACAGAGACTGAATACATCTGCGTAAGCCATTGACAACGATTTTCAGCCATGTCACCTATTGTCTCCAGCCATTGATTCTTAGAGTCCCGAGGGCGGGCCCAAACCCGGAAGTCTGCATCTCCCTACCTGACTCAGTTTAACTGTCAGGGATTTCATGGACTGATCCCATGTTTTTGTTTGGCCACCGACCGAAAGCTGCTACCTTGACGTGGTGGTCGGGCTTGAACACCGCAATGACCCAACAAGCTATACTGGCTGGAACTTATGTTCCTGTAGGTCCTACCATGCCAGAGAGGTTGTTTGGATAGCGGTTAGACTAAAAGCAGTTACCCAATCCAATCCTATGACTTCAAATAACTCACAAAATATCATGCCGGATCGGTCGGCGCCCGGATTAACAACGACCGCGCTTCCTGCTGCCGTGTCACAGGGCAGAAGTGATAAATACGCTACTGAGACACACCAAATGAAAAATAACAAACAAAAACAGGCCGTGTGTGACCGGCCTGTAGCAGTTGTCCCCAGGGCTCTGCGGTCACGCAACCAACTTCCACGGTGTGGGCAGCCGGGAAGTAACAATCGCCCTCACAATCCGAAGTGCACGCGAAACCTCTCTAATCCTCACTCACCTTTGTCTTCATCTTCATCTCTATTATCCTGCCTTCCTTCTACCAATGCAACTCCTCTACTTGATTGAAACGATGCTGGCTGATTAGATAAGTGAAGGAAGTAATTTCTTTCAAATTTCTCCTGTAGATGTTGACTGGTGTTGTTTGTTGTCACTGTTCGTTGGTTGGTTATCTTCATCACCTCCGTCCTCTGCATGTTCTCTATGTCTTCGCTGCCTGCTTCTTCAGCCAGTTTGTTGGTTTTCGCCTTTTATTCTTCGAGTTTGTGTGATATTGGACAAAAAACATCTGCGAAATCCAGATCTTCTAGAGTCTTCTTATAGGTGGTTCAGCTATTCCTACCCCCCTCTCTCCCTACAGTCTGACGCATAATCCAGTCAGTCCACCACAATTAAGAATATCATCGGTGATAATAGATAGGCAGCCTTATCAATTCAACTATACCACCTAGACACACAAATAATGGATTTAATCAATGCGCCTACACAGGTGAAACAAACGCTTAGATATGTATAACATTATATCATTATTATTATTATACTGAGAAAGAAATAAAAAAAGCAAAGCTTACATGGCCTTTTTCATTGATATAAGCCACATTTGTCATTGGATTTTGTGAGCAAAAATTATTAATGCCATATGGTCCAGATGTTAGACTTCCTAATGGACCTGAAATACACGTGTGCACACACACACACAACGGAAAGAAAGAAATATTCATGAGTAGGCGAAACCATAGGAAGACCATAAAAGCTATATTTGAATAAATCATCATTAGACTGATCCGATGAAGTTGACAATTTCACATATATAAAACAAATATTCTCGCAGTGTGTACACAAACAATCAAACCAATGACCTTCAAACACTATTTGCGTGTATGTAAATGAATATATATATATAGGAAAATAAACAACAACCATAACACTTTGATTCTAAATGACCTTAAATTTTGGAACTTAAGATGAAATAAAAGTTTGTTTTCATTATACTATTCAGCTGTATAACAAAAAACAACAGTGACAATGTTCATGCTTGTTTTTTTATTAGAAAAGTTTCGACTATTCATTCTACATATTTCATATTCAGCAGTTGAAAAGTGGTTACCTACACTGATCAATATAAAAACACACATCAAGGTTGTAGTGACTTTCATACAGAGAGTCAGTCAGTTACAATGAAAACAACTGTGATTATCATTAAGTTAAGCAGGTATTGAGAGATAAATAAATTACATTATACTGGCTTTGATAGACAACATTTCACTCTAGGAATTACAGCATGATGCTCGCTAGTGACTGGCTACAGAACGGAGTTTCCTGAAGTTCTAGTGAGAAGTTGTGACCAGTGAGGAGCATCTAGTCGGGATGTGAGGATGGATTTCCCGCTGATGACACTGGTTGGTACCAGTCACGCTAAATCACGAATTGGTAGAAGTTAGAGTTCATGGACTTGCCATTGAATCGGATCCCAGTGGTTGAGTGGTATACGAACTTGACTTGTGACCGGAAGGTCCTGGGTTTGAACCCTGGCAGTAGATGCGTACTGCCGGTGAGTCCCACACTAGGCTGACGAAACAGCTATCCAGTACTCCAGTGCTGGTTTTCAGTGGTTCTCTAACTGATATTAATCCGTGGGCAAACTCGTAAGTTATTATTACTGGTATGGACTTTAAGCAAAGTTCTTCTTTATGTATTTATAGTGTTTAATCGATCCAGCACCACTTTGAAGAAAGTAGTAAGATTTGGGGGCTTTTAATACAATCACTTTTGTCATACTAATCCAATACTTGTGGAGGTCGTCCATCATAAAATAGTAAAAATAATGAATTCACTGCACATCATGGGTGTTAACTGATATTTTATGAATAAGAACACCAGCTTGTTCACCACGCACTATGCATGATACAACTTCCCTTCTCCAGCTTCTTGGTTCCCACTGTTGCCAATCTTCGCTGACGCGTATCTAATCCGTATATCCACCTTCGGTGGCACAGCGGTTAGGACTCCCGCCAACCATGCACATGGTCCGGGGTTCGATCCCCTCCCGACGCACAGCCGATATCAATGGTCGGCCTGCAAAATTGGGCTACCGATATCACATGCTGAAAATTCCATACTTGTACCAAAAATACGGTGCGGAATCAAGCTATAATCAAAAAAATAAAATCCTTTGCTTCAATCTCGTTTTACTCGCCGAAAGGACCCTCGGGCTGTTGGCATACTCTTACGTGGAGGAAGCAAAAAAGACTACTTCATCACTACAATTCTGTATGTCTTTACTTGTGTACTTTGGGACAATTATAACTCACCAAGTAACTGTATTATATATATATATATATATATATATATATATATATATATATACATAGATCTTTATATACTTCATCACAGGTTTGTATTGGTTTTATCATTTTTCTTTGCGCATAAACGAGCTTAACCAGGTAGTCCGCTACATACTACGATGAGCAAAGAGTTTGTCGTCAAAATACCTTAGTGTCAATGATCCCAGTAACTACTGGCCTTTTAGACCTTTCAAGAAGTTGTATTCCACTTCTTATATCAACAGAGGTACTGCAGGGGAAAAACCACAGTCCTATCGTTTCTTTAATAAGCTTATTTAGCAGGAGTTACCACCTCTAGTTAGTTAGACTGTTACACACAATCAACTAAAACATAACTAAACACACTTGACTGATTAGACTAATAAATTATGAAATTCACTGATGAAGTTATTACATGATGATTCAATTCCGTGATAAGGCTTTACACAGGGTGAGAACTGGGACAAAGAAATGTGTCAGTCACAGAGGTACACAGGCAGAAAACGCATACCAATATAAAAAGATCACAAAGCTATTGACGGCGTTACCTCGTGAACAAAGGATAACCTAGATCACAAATCACCTTATGAACGAAAATATGTTTCAAATCGATCGTCTCCTTGTTTCAAAATTTTAGACAAAATGTCAAGCATTTAATTGATGGATGGTGACTAACAGTGGAATCCAGGATGCGCGTTTCGTCCCATTTGGGTCTCGTCACTGGATGTCAAGCAAGTGAACTTGAACTCAAAGGAAAGCTAGCATAATTCCACAGTAATTTGTCTGATGGATAAATCACACAGTAAAATAGTTTTATATACTGGATGAAGAAGTTTCAAACACAGCTTGTTGTTCATGATCATATCATTAAATGTAACTGCAAAACTGGAACTTGATTTTTATAGTTCTCTTTATTCTTCCCCATTTGTCATAAGGGGTGTTGGAATTTTCTAGATGTCCGGGTGAACAGGGTGTATTGAATCATTCCTATTGCAAGTATTCTCAGTTACCGATCTCCCCCTACACCTTCTTATATTAGATTATAAGATTGTCATTTTGTGCCATCCTATCGTATGGTTGTGTGTGACTGCATGAAGTGCTACAGCTGAGTTATTTTTCTATATCTCCTGTCTTATTAGGGTTGGTGCCAATCTAGATTTTACTATATTTTTGAGCTCCGCTAGTTTAACTGAACCCGTTACTACTACTTAGACCTATATTATCTCACAGTCATCGCAGGATATTAGTTAAACTAAACTGTTTTTGATGTGGTTGTGTTCTCTGAGCTGGATAGTTAATTTGCGAAGCTTTCATCACCCTACTAGGTGACATCTTCAGCGCATACTTCAAACTAAACTGTCTTGTTTAATGTGCTCCACAGGATCCTTTAACCGACATAATTCATTTCTAAGTTAGTTTCAAGATTTGAATGACCTTTTTATTAGTGCTTTGTTACAAATTCTACGTAAGGATGACAGTTTTAAAACTGAATGCAATAGGGTGGAAGGAGAGATTGATACGGAAGCTTTATTTATTTATTTTACTGCATGAGAACAACTGTCCGCGCGGACATCTGGAAAATTCTATTATTCCTTACGAAAAAATGAAGGAATAAAGAGAACTACAAAAATCAGGCTTCGAAGTTGTGTAGTTACACGATTGATATGATTATGAAGAATAAATTGTGTTTGAAACTTCTTCATTCAGTAAATAATGCTGTCTCACTGTGTGATAGATTCAATAAACAAGTTAATATGGAATTGCATGCTTATCGCAGTCCTCAAGATTCACGCATTTATTAAAGCTAGAACAATATCGACGCTATTCAAAATTAAGGAGTAATTTGTTCTCTAAACTCTATAAACGAAGATGACGTCCTTGTTATGTCCTTGCGACATTTATTCAACCTCCCTGCAAATATCTGGCCAGAAAAACAGAGTACCTTACACATGCTAGATTGCCAGCTGTTTGAATACTTCGTTACTACACCTTATCTTCAATATGTAGTACACAACATTGTTACCAATACAATACAGTGTAATGGTAAACTTGAATTTCGTATGGAAAACAGAACTGCTGCATTTAAAACCAACGTTATGCATCAAAATTTATTGATATCTAAGATCTTTATGATGCAAATATGTGCAAATCTCCACATCGCATATCTACAGGTGGAGATAATTTATAAACAAACAAGATAAAGGAATGGACATCACACAGACGAACATCGTGGAATACTATTAAACACAAGGAAATAAGGTGAAGAGGAAATGAAGAAATATGCTAGTACAATAAAAGTGATTATCACGTAAGTAACGAACCAGTGCCAGTGTGAGTTATTTCCAGTGGTTCACACTTACATACCTTACACGGGTATACAAATAGGAAATCCAAAATCACGTCACTTGACTGCTCGTAAGGCAGCGATTAGTTTGCAGCATACAAAATGATACAAATCTGACAGTTATAATTCATCTGGGTCAAAAGTTGTGTCGGTAGAGGGTAAGGCTTACATATATCATTATGTCAGTGATCAAGATTAACTCGACCGATAAGCTACTTCCTTGATGTGGTTGTCCGGCTTGCATATCACAATGACCCAACGAGCTACGCTGGCTGGAACACGAATGTGGCTAAAGCTGTTAGCATGCCAGAAAAGTTGGTTGGATGGGGGGTTAGACTGAAAGTAGATACCGTCATAGTATAGGCTGTTTACAATATGTTGAGGCTTTGTTGACGAATTCGTACTACTGGAAAATAAGGAGGTAATAGCACTTAGGTGTTTCCCTTAGATCACTAGCATGTTAGCTATGCCGCCTCTCCATTCTGAAGAGCAAGGGTTAGAAAAGGTCAACCCCGGAAATTGTACATCACGACTTACCTTGAACCTTTCCGTAGCCCAAAAGTAAGATTTTTATACAGATGCAACTCCAAAAACCAATTCAAACATGCCATGTGTGACAGGCTTCAAGCAGTTGTCCCCTGGGCTCTGCGGTTACAAAGCACTAATTCACTTTCTGTTTCAGTGTGGCTAGCCAGGAAGTAACAACCATCCATGCACTTCTAAAATCACACAAAGCTCATTCAGATCACAATTAATCAATATGGTGTTAGATCACGCTAAAACAATGCATGTCATATACATGCATGCTGTAGATGTCAAAAGGTTCACTGCGGGTCCACTCAACCTCTTCAGTTCCTTTGCAACAATGGAAACCACCATAATAATAGCCAATTTAAGTACCTGTGTGGACAGTTGTAAAAGAAGTTGGTTAAAGCACTTGGTTTCTCATAAATGCCGAACTTGTAAGCGTACCGGTGACCGATTAAGGACCTATGATACATCGCGGAGGACTGGAAAACCTTGCAAACTAAAAGTTTTAAAGCATAGACGTATGACGCAGTATGCTACTGATTGGTTGAGATAAGTAGTTGTACACTACTCATATCAACCAGCAGCGCTTGCTTTCAAGACATCGAATTGATCTAAACAACGAACAGCCGCTTTGTCTATTCGGAGCCCAGCTCATCAGAGGTACACCCGGTCCGGACTCAGCACAAAGAAACGAATCAATACAAACCACTCGAATTTTGGCTAGCTATTTCAGAGAACTAGGAATACGTTAAATTAATTCATAATTTACCAATTAATTCGCAGATCACATACTGTGATCTGAAAAATTTCGGTTTCAACAGGAAACTCTGGTGAAATTTCACCCAGAGTTATTCAGATTGTAAATCACCAATTAATTTGCAAATTGCAAAATTTAATTTAAAAGTTGGAAAACTAACAGTTCACATTCATGAAGAAATAAGTCTAATATCAAATAACAAAAATAGTATTGGGGAAAAAGCAACAAAACTTACATGATGAGTCTAGTACACAACCAGGATTCTGAAGAGTAGGAATTGGAGGCAGTCTTGATGCATCATTTTGCGACAAGTAACCAGCTGCTGCAAGCTGTGCTGCAGCCAATTGAGCTTGTTGACTTCTGAGAAGGAGTGATAACAGGAGAGCTTGTTGTTGTTGTTGTTGCTGCTGCTGCTGCTGTTGTTGTTGAAAAATAATATTTGATGTATTAGTGTGTAGATCAGGAGCAGAAGGATGCTGTTGAGTTGCAGCTAAAGCTGCAGCAGTGGCTAAAGTTGACGGTACATAAGAGGAATATAGACCAGGTGCAGATATTTGGTGATTTGTCACTGTTGGTGGCAACTGACTACGTAACAATTGATGGGATTGAACTTGTTGTTGTTGCTGCTGCTGCTGTTGCTGTTGTTGTTGTACTAGGAAGTTATTGAGCGCTAAGGCTGCAGCAGCTGAAGCTATCGGTATGGTTGCATCACAACCACCATTCATAGAGTATAAAGGTGGATATAAAAACTGTGATGGTGTGTACATGGAAGCAGTAGGCTGTGAGGATAATGGTAGACCATAAATACTCATATTCAAAGGATTTAGGATATTTGTCACTTCAGCGCTAACATGAGGTGCACCAATGTCTGTACATGAATTTATTGAAGTAAATCCAGGATTAATAGATCCACAAGAGAAAATAGTAGGAAATGTAGCTCCACACTCAGAAGAATGACTTTTTGAATCACGAGTTTGAGAAGTATTATCAAGTTTCTCTTCACCGTTACATAAAGCAGTTAACTCTTTATTCTGAGCTATCCCGTCAGCTGAAGATGAGGTAGATAAATTTGCTCTCTTTGTTGGTAACCATGCCTATATTGTAAAAAAATAAATAAATAAATGCAACCTACAATTATTAAAATCAAACACGACCTGATGAACACAAGAAATAATTAACCCTTCCGAATGAAACGGAACAATGATAAATTCTCCCAATTAAAAAGCCCGTAGGTCAATTATTCTCCATGTTTTATACAGGCATAGTGTGTCGGTGGATGTGAATGGTAGAATGTTCGTCAGTCACGAACGTTCGGTTCCCCGTTGAAGCAACTCACCTAGTTTACTAGCCTCTACGAACTTCAGAAAAAAGGGTAGGGTGGACATTAGACTAGCAATCCTACCCCTTAAAAATAACACCTTAACTGAATCTTTAAAGCTCGAAGTCCTATGTTCCACTAGGAACGGGAAGGAATATGAAATCAAGCGCTACACACGCATCAGTGATACAGACTCTCCGCAAAAAATAGAAGCTACAAGCTGGAAATAAGCGAATTTCGAGAATGGGTCAGAGTCTAAGAGCAAACAATGTTCAGTGCCTAAGAAGTCTCAAAATAACTTTCATTGGCTGTCTAAGTAAACCGCTACCCATAAGGTCATCGAATAACAATCTCAAGTTTTCCAATCACAAAGACATTTGAGTGAATAGAATTCATGAAGTCTGTGATCTCTATTATACTGTCAATATGTAAATACTTTAGTGCATTATGTACGAGATAGACAGCTTGCTCTTTCACGCACAATTCATCCTTTTTTATTAAACAGTGGTCCAGGGATACTGCATTAAAGATGACAGTTTTAAAATTATTCCGTTCCACTTGGGTTTCTCACATGCTAGTATTGACCGACAAATATCATCTTATCATCGTAGGAATTCGATACCCTGACACTAAATGTATGCACACAAAAGCAATTAGTGACTGGAAATAAACGACATATTGCTAAGTTATTCAAATGACATAGGATTATGAGTAAACTAATATTTGGATATATTTACTCTAATGTATTCGAATAGCCTAGCAATATGTCGTTTATCTTCCGTCCAAATGGTTTGCAGGGGAATATATGAAATTCACTGCAAGCCTTAACTAACCACTGATATGTCTATGATGTAGGCACTCCTAGCCTTCGTGCGAAAAGTCTGACATCAGAAAAGAACATATACAATCATTGAATTGATTGCTAGCATTGTGAAATGGATCATAAGTGAGTTTGGGAAATATCAGTGGGGAATCATACTGAACACACAACAAATCAATTTGTTGATGATGCGATTAAATTTGAAAATCTAAACGAATATTTACTGAATAATTTCTGATATATATAACTGGTGGATGGTGACTAGCAGTGGAATCCAGGATGCGCATTTCGTCCTATTTGGGACTCGTCATCCGGATGTACATGCGTTTCTCAGTGAGTGATGATGTTCCCACCATGGAGGCTCGAACCCAGTGCCCATAGTTTCAAACGCCAAAGCGTTATCCACTAGACCACTTGGGCCACGAAAGCCACCTCTTGTGCAACGGGTCATATTAATTATTTATTTGAATTTTAGATTTTCCCGTCCATTGATTGGAACGAAGTAATGTAGTTTAGAACTAGGCAAGTGATCCATGCATATTACAAATTGAATAGGACACTTGAACAGGTAATTAAGCCAGCAAAGAAAAGGTTCTTATAAAAGTTGTTATGGTTTTGTTAGCTTGCAATCGAAAGATAACTGCTACTTTTATGTATTTATACATGTTGTTATCAAATAAAACCAGTAAACTAGCAATGCGCGAAGATCTAATGAACGCTGACATATAGACATATTTCCGATAGCCAGGAAGCATAAGAGTGGGCGAATTTATTTATTTTTTATTTTTGATTACAGCTTGATGCCACACTGTATTTTCAGTACAAGTATGGCATTTTCAGCATGGATATCGGTAGCCCAAATTTGCAGGCCGACCATAGATATCAGGTGTGTGTCGGCAGTGGATCGAATCCCCAACCATGTGCATGGGTCGGCGAGAGTCCTAACCACTGTGCCACCGACACACAACATGAATACAAGTATATGCATACATGATGTATGTGTGCAGGCAAAGGGAGATATTGCTTCTTTGATTCAATCTACAGAAAATAAACCATTAAACTGCACATAAGACGCTACTGAAAAACTGAAAACAAGTTGATTTCATCCTGTCATGCTACAGAGAGAACAGAATCACCAAATGAAATAAAAATAGATGAGCTATAATATCATAAACAATCGTGTAATTATTATTATTATCATTATCATTATTTATACTCTATGGATTGATAACAATAAAGCACATTCATAGTGTAAAAACATGACAGTATGAACAAATAAATAAATAGAATAACATGTTATATTAACACAAAGCTGAAGCATTATGTAATTAAAGCAAAGCAAACAAAGACTACAACAACTAAAAAAAATACATATATATACATATATTATTAAATAAGCGAATCACCCACATGCATATCCATGCTATTTTCAAAAGTTCCAGTAGCAATATTAGCCTCACGTTTCATGCCCACACGAACAATCGGTGTGTCAGTATTGCTGGGAAGACCATTTGCAGCTTCACTTCTGATTGTAATACTTGATAGATTGTTGCTGTTATTATTATTATTACTATTATTATTGTTATTATTATTATCAATAGATGTAACAGAGGTAGATGCAGCTAACGGCCAATTCGTTGGTAGATTAGCCGCAGTATGTAGCTGTTGATGTTGTTGTGGTGGTGGTTGTGGTTGTTGTTGTTGTTGTTGAGTAGATTGACACAGTTCAGTAGATGATTGTGGATTTGATAGAGAATTCACCAGTCGTGTAATAGCAGCATTGCAACCATTAAAGCTTAGCACACTTGGCTGAAATAATGCAGTAAGTAGTATTATAAGCGCAACAGATAAATGTGAAGCGCATACACGTGTACAAACGTAGAATCAGCGACCAAAAGAATGAGTGAGCAACAGCACGTCACCACCACCAGAGATGATTATGTATATATATACATATATGCGCATACATATGTTGTGAGGATAAGGAAGGAGTGAAAATTAAATCAGGAAAGCAGCACAAAATGCAGAGCACGAATAATAATAATAATAGTACTAATGTATAATTATTAATTTAAGGAATAAAGATTAAACAAAACCGCCATTAAAAACACAACGAACGAACGAACGAAATAACATTTGCAACCAAAAATCAAACGGATATCAAGAATTCATGATGTTAAGGGATTTCAGTTAATGATTGTAAATGTAAAGCACAATTACTTGATTATAATAAGGTCGATGACAATTTTTAAACCGTTTGCATAGAATAAAACTAGAATCTATAATTGCGGGAGACAGTTACGTAAGTAGAGCATTGTCCGACGCAGTTAGACAAACGAGTCAATCGTAAGGTCACCCATCAAAAGTTCCATACTGATATACCTTGTGGATACGGAGGACAAGACTGATAGGAATTCAGCTCTTACTACAATTCTATACAAGTTTCCACCTCAATTCCCTAAGTTTATATGCCTTCCATGGCAAAGCATAGCTGGAGCAGTTGCCATAGGATTTTTCCAGCCAATCTCTGTGTTCAGAAAAATTTAAGTTCAATTGCCCTGCCTCCCATGACCTTGACCCCAAACCTAGAACAGTTATCATCACTCCGGTTGATACTGGATAACTTTAAATATTATTTTTATTTCCACTGCTAACTTTACCTTAGTTACACAATTTATTATTGCTATCTATCTCGTCGCTATGTGTGTGTAGTTATTTTCACCTCTACCCTTAATAGTATACACATTATATTTGATTCTATTCATCCACATTGTTTCAAATGAGAATTTGTTAAAATCGTGTTGTATAATTGCGGTATGATCATCATTGTATCAAAAGAACGGCTTCACACAGCCCATCCCAGTTGACTAGATGTTAGTAAAGCGATAAATATAATCGAATAGGGAAACTATAAAACGCTCTGTTATAAATCTCATTTTTGTGTTAGCGAGGTGAATACAAAAATATAATGTGAAGAATGCCTAGAAAACATTAAAAAGGTTTACTGGTGTGTTCAAACACTGCATGCATGGACTTTCCGGGTCTGTATACACGACAGAGATTATCCAGAAACCACTGCCTCGAACGAAATCGACTCAACAGTTCAGTTATTCAGATAGTATTGCATTGAATAGGTTAATTAAGAGACAGAAAATACCATTGTGATTATTCTAATCAACAATCCGCTTGGAGTTAAGGTAGAACAATGAATCCGCTTTTATCTATGGATGTCCAAACCAAGTCAACGTTTAATACTCTGGAAAAATTTGGACATTGGGTGTATAATATTCACTGTTATAAAAGATTTTGTATTTCCAAATGAATGAAAAACAAAACGACATTGTTTTTAATGACGTATATTATAATTATTGTTTCCTTCAATTCCTAGAGGAACATAGGGCTTCAGCCGTGCGTCTCCATTGCGTTCGGTTCTCTGCTAGAGTCTTCACCTGGCTCCAAGTCTGCCCGCTATTTAATGCTAATAAATTTATCAAACTACTTAAAGCATCAGACACACTGAAAAGCAATCTTATCTGTGTAAAAGACCAAATTCTAAGGGATTCATAATCTGATTGTGTCTATAAAATAAAGTGCTTGGAATGTGAAGCGATATACATTGGACACACCTCGTGAGAAATCAAGATCAGAAGAAATAAACACCGCTGAACATCTATTCGACCACTGAGAATCAGGCCACAAAAATGACTGTGACAATCTGAATAGGAAAGACGGAGTAAGACAAAACATGGCCTCGTCCCAACATCCACCCACTCGTCATAAAGTGTCAAAATCAACACGAATGTCATGAGCAACTTTATTGTGTAAACACGTGCTATTTTTGTTATATCATACACTTATCAAATTCAACAATCTATAGATGGTTTTGTTGGTATTAGATGGTTGGAGGCAATCGGCAGGAAGCCTTGGACCTAGGTTTCGTGCTAGTTGGCACTCATCAGCAAGGCGTATCTGCAACCTTGAAGGAACTGATGTCCCTTCTGAGATTCGAACCCGCGTCACCTAGTGCTGCAGTCAGAGACGTTACCACTGAGCTATTCAGGCTCGCGACTGACCTCCTGTAGGACTGTGTTGGATATTTGTTTTTGATTGAACACTCAGAAGGGACATCAGTTCCTTCAAGGTTGCAGATACGCCTTGCTGATTAATGCCAACTAGCACGAAACCTAGGTCCAAGGCTTCCTGCCGATTGCCTCCAACCATCTAATACCAACAATTCACAGTGCACCGTAATGGCGAGCCACCTAGCATGGTGGCCACATTGCAAATATGACTGATGGAATTCAGTCTGCACCGAAGATAGGACTAGACACATTACACTAGTTACTGACTAGTGTTCAATCAAAAACAAATAGATGGTTTTATTATCTTCAGCAGCTGAGCAACTTGACAACGTAAAAATTATTTCATGCTGAAGAACAATTATGAGATTGCTATATATACATATATATATATATATATAAGCTGAGATCTTGTAAATTAGCGATTAGCACTAAACAGAGGAACGTCAGTAAAAACAATTTTTTAAATTTTTCATTCATTGGGAAATACAAAAACTTTTACAATAATGAACAGCCTTTGTCTGATTGTGAAATTCGTTTCAACGACGACTGCTTACTGAAGACGCAGACAATCCTCGATACACAATTTGCTATTCCTGCCTATAGTAATCAAACGCAATGACAAAACCTTTGGAATAACTCAACGAAATAGTTAAATTGCCGGTGAGACTATGTGAAATAGCCTTGGATTGGCGTACTGAACTCATTCGTTTCAATTCCCAGGCTGTCACGACCCCAGTGTTTTTTCTTATTTCACCTTCAGTCATTTGTCCTTGACAAATCAAATAAGAGACTTTTCACCATGGAAATATGTTCAAACTTCAAACTCTCCTCCGCCACACACACACAGACCTCACATTTGCATATAAAAAGATACACGTAGAAATCGGCATAATGTGACAAACTATTTCTTTCCGTAACTGTATGTCAGAAACTATGACTAAATCAAAATAGAACGAATACAATTTTCGAGCATAGATGATTTATAACAATGCCAAGTTCACACTACGGCTAACTTCTTCTTTATTGTATAAAGAAGACAGAATTTTTTTCTACCAAGATATAGTATGTACCGACAATAATGAACACCGCCCCATATAGCCTAGTGCGTCGTTGGTTCAGCGGTATAATGCTCGCCGACTATACACGTGGTCCAGGGTTCGATTAACAGCCAGCGCAGATCTTTACCTTCGCTAGCTGGTTGTAAACCCACCCAACAAAGAAACAGGGGAGGTTGGGTATGAGGCTAACAACTCCTCCCGGTTAAAACTAAAACCACTGCCAGTGAAACTTCGAGGCTCAAGCTCGAAACCCTAGGTTCCACTCGGAAAGCAAAGCAATAAAATAAAGACAAAATAATAACATTACCTAATGAATACAATTTCGACTGATTAGTGAACAAAGAATACTCTTTTCGATAACTTCTTCCTTTTCACGTTCTAAAGGTTATATGAATCCATAGTAATTAAAGGATCACGGACTGATATCAGTTAGAGAACCATTGAAAACCAGGGAGTACTGGACAACTGCGGTTTCATCCTAGTTTGGGAATCATGGGAAGTACGCGCCCACTAGGATTCGAACCCAGGACCTTCCGGTTACAAGGCAAGCTCGTATACCATTCAGCCACTGAGACCCGATTCAATGGCTAATGAATTCTAACTTCTACTAATTCGTGATCAACTCGTAAAAACATAACAAACCCTTACAAACCAAACTATAGAAAAAAATTAAAGGATCATTGTTTTCTGATTTGAACTCAGTAATTCGCTTATACACTGACACACACACACACAAACAACCTTCTATCCTATTGCCTCTCCATGTTTTTGATATTATCACTTATCCATATGTAATTTATAATCCGTATGTGAATAGAATTCAATACGAACTTTATTGATAAGCACTGATTATCACATATTTTCATTGTTATTATTCATGATCATTTACTTTTTAAATCTAATGTTCAATTTAGTGTTACATATTATGCACATATTATCATATAAAAGGCATGTTTTCAACCATTATAATCTATTAACAATCTCTATTCGCATATACCACCCCCTGGAATTTTGATGTCAATAGGTCGTTGTTATTTTTTTTTTCAAAAACCAATTGACTTCAACCTTCGCCTACCATGTACTGACTACTTAACCTATTTAAATATGATTAGACATCAGTGTGTACTTTTGTTTTTTTTATATAACTGAGTAATTGTCATGCACTTTATTTAATTTTATTTTTGTGAACTGTGTTAGTTGCAAAGCGGTTGTAAGAAGAAACTACAAAATGTTGCTATCATCTCGTGAAATTTGTCTTATAAATGTCGTTAATAATAACAATAAGTTCTTAATTAATACGAACATATGTGGCTGTAGAAACTAAAGAAGAGGACATTAGAGTTTTATTTAAAACATCAGAAACACTACGAAACAACCTTGCCATATAAAAGACTAGATCCCTAAAGATTCTTTATCTAATTGTATCTATAAAATAAAATGCTTGGAATGTGATGCGATATACATCGGACAAACATCGCTAGAGAGAAATCAAAATCAGAAGAAATGAACACCGTAGAGCATCTCTTCGACCACCGAGAAATCCAATTGAACTGAAAAAACTTGAAAAATCATCAGCCATAGGTCTACATGCTATAGAATCAGGTCACAAAATTGACTTTGACAATATTGAAATAATCCAGAAAAACTTCAGAAGTCGTAAAGAACGTCTAATATCATAAGTAATTCATATCAAGTGGAATCCAAATTGCCTGAATAGGAATGATGAACTAAAACGGAATCTGACCTGTTTACAACGCCTCCCTCCCCCATGAAGTGACAAAATCAACACGAATATGGTATGCAAGTTCACTATGTAAACACACACTGCCTTTATAATTTTACACACTTATCAAATCCAACAATCTACACTTGATTTTGTTATCTTTACCAATTGACCAACTTGACAACGAAAAATAACCCCAGACTGACGAACGATGGGCAAGTTAGTAAACTTTATTTTGATACCATAACAGATGTACTATTACCTTTGTTATTTGGTTTAGTTATCTTCATCGCTATTTTTACTTTCAATATGTCCCTTTAACTTGACTTATGTCTATTTTCTCATCCCCTAACTGTTTGTTATATATATGCTGAGATTTTGTAAATTCCGGTTTAATAATACTTTGATAAAGCTATTAGCGTTAAATAGCGAAACGTCAGTAAAAACAATATCGTTTTGTTTTTCATTCATTGGAAAATACAAGGAAACCTTTATTATAATGAATATCATATACCCAATGCCCAAATTTTTTCAAACTGTTAAAAGTGAACTTGGTTTGGACATATATAACTGAAGAAGTTATCGAAAAGAATATTCGGTAACCAGTCTTTTGAAATTTCTATTGAGCTTGATAGAATTTAACAAAGGATAAATGAAGTGACTTTTTGAAGTGTACGAATTGGCTAATAGAATTTCTGGCGTCACAACGAGTATTAAAAATGTTTACAGCTTGGGATAAATTAATATGTTAATATGTAATTCTATTAATATTCGTTTATTAGATATATAGTACAGTGAAACAGTATTATACACTGGATGACAAAGTGTCGAACAATTTATTATTCTTCATAATCATGTCAATTATCACCACACAAATTCGAAACTTCCGTAAAATAGATTTCTTAATTCTTTCTTACTTGTAGAACGGGTAGTAGAATTTTCCAGACACTCAGGTGGACAGGCGCTGAATCATAATTCCAGTTGCCCGTATGTCCATTTGATTCAATAGAAATAAAACTTCCGTTATCAATTTCTTCCTCCACCCTCTCAATATTAGACTTTAGAGCTGTCATCTTATCCCATCCATCCTGCTGCATGGTTGTGTGTAACTGCATGTAGTAAGTGCTATAGCTGAACTATTCTCCAGATTTCTTATCTTATGAGGGCCCACTAATATAGATTTTTATGCTAGATGTTCTGTGCTACTCCGCTAGTCTGACGGACACTGTTCCACTACTTCCAGCTATGTATCTAACCTGACAATCATTGGAGACAGGGTACTAGATAAACTGAATTGTTTTGGTCAATGGGCTCCACAGCATCCTCTAACCGACAAAGCTTGTTTTCTAATTGACTTTATGGCTTTCAATACCAGCCACTTTTATTCCTGAACTGTTACGGATTCTGCATAAAGTTCCCGAGGTTCCTTCTTTGTTTGGAAGTACTACTGATGATTTAAATTCCTTATTTTTGGTGTTGTCACCATTCTGTGTATGTTTAACATGCATATCATTATTATTATTATTATTTTCACTACCGTTATTATTAATTTCATTTTTACACTTTCCTACATACTTCCTGATTAATTTATCAGAGTAATAATTAAGTTTCAAAGCTCCTCTTATATGCCTCCTCACTTCCTGTCTTAGATTTTCTCTGGTACTATTTAGTTTTTGTGCCCTATTACTTGAACATTTCGCCAATCCTATTTTTACTTACATAGGAAGTTAAACACTAGTGTTTACAGTTAACCCACACACTCAAACCGATGTTTGGATTTCGGATCATCCCCTATCCTGAACGATAAGAAAATATCAAGCAATAAATTCCGCTGAAAATTCTGCACATTGTATAAACACCGTCCAGAATAAAGCTATTATGATTATCACTGGAGAAGGTTGGAATTTAAAGTTCAAAAAATACAAATGGGTAGTAGAATACAGCAAAGAGCACTACGGCCTTGAAGATAGAGCCTCATCGCTTCTTAAAATTGTAACTTGGACCACATAGTATTGAAATCAGAGACGTTTTCAATAAACACTTCCGACTGATGTTGGTCTTCACATTTCATCAGTCCACTAAGTATTACACACACATTCTAAAACATGCCTGAAGACACATTTTTCATCATTCTGTTTTATCTACAATCGGTCATTTACGAGTTATCACTTTTCAAACAAAAACATGGCATCAATCCATGACATCCATGACAGTTAAACTGAGTCAGGTAGGGAGATGCAGACTTCCGGGTTGGGGCCCTCGGGACTCTAAGAATCAATGGCTGGAGACAATAGGTGACATGGCTCAAAATCGTTGTCAATGGCTTACGCAGATGTATTCAGTCTCTTTAACCTTCATATTCCTTTCTACCATTACTCATTCTGTTTCACTCTTATACTTATCTAAATTCTATTGATTCTCTTCTCTCATTTTCCTGTCTACCTTTGTGTGCTCTTTGGAACGTGGCAACTCGAACTGCTGCACCTCGGTGCCAAGTTCTATGTTGAATCCAGCAGCAGTATCACTTTTCAACTCATTTAGGCTGGATGATGAATCGTCTGTTGGATAAGTAGAGTTCCACACAGTAAATAACGTTATCCGGTCATGTAACATGTTAAATTTAGGTGAATTACAAGAATATATCATAAGCTAAACTGAATTAAATTGGTCTACATAAAGCACTAAAAACGCATTATTATGTAGAATCATGCAAGAATTCATGTCAAAATTGGAAAGCAGTAAAAAATAAAACAAAGTGATGAAACAACGGACTAAGAATGCAACGCAACCGACTAGAATTAGCAGGTTATAATTATTCCTTCGCCATTTGACTTTTAGTGACAACAGTTTCACAGTGTCTGTGTTCTTAAAATTATGATTAAGCAACAAATTTGCAAGCAAAACGCAGACAACACTTTTTTGCCTTGCAAGCTGTTAACAACGGCGAAAACGTAGTCAACAACAACAACAACGACAGCAACAACAATAACAACAATAAACTAGACATTTAAGCGACAGATAACGAACGGGATTCTAACAAGTATGATCATAGTCAACATATCATCAACAAAACCATGAATGATGAGAACAACTAACTTAATGGCATTTGTTAAATTCATAACTCACCTCTGATGTGAACACTGTAGATGTATCACCATTTTTACACGATTTAGAAAGCATAGATGATTCATGGGAATATGTTGAACCGCCAGTCAATAGAGGAGAAGAAGTCGACAGAAGACCATGACCTGGAAGATTAGTATGCTGTAGAGCAGCGGCTGCTGCCAATATAGCTGATGCACTAAATGAATTTGGATCTGTTAGAGAATTTAGAGGTGTTAAATATGTCCCATAAACTGGTCCACCACCTACAGCAGTAGGCTGTAACAGTGTTGTTGAAGGCGGCCATCTCAGCGCTGAAGGACAGCCTCCTCCTCCTCCTCCGCCTCCACCTGCTACCGAACTAAGAGCTGGCAAACCGGTGGTGGGGAGTGTCTGTTGCAAGGGTTGTTGCATTGAAATGAGATTGGATGTCTAATTGAAGGAATAATTTAGTATATATATCTGTATAGTTAAATATTTGTAAATAAAAACTTCATATATATTCAACTATTCATTAATACATTTTCATGAAAGAATATACAAGTGATAAATCTAAGTCCACAAAATTGGCACAGATTGTCATTTTATCAAAAAGCAGATTATCATATCATCATATCACCACGTCAATAATCGCGAAATTATAACTTAAATGAATAGGAGTGAGCACAAATAAAAAAGATGAGTTGATGATATTGGTAAGCGGTCGGCATATAACCATGGTTACACACACACACACGCATACATACACGCACACAAACACACAAACAAACAAAAGCCATTACAGTATCAGTAGTGCGCGTCATAAAATGACTATTGGTCCGTACTATAACGATAATATTATTTTTTTTTTGCTCTGTAATGTGATTGTAATGGTAGCACAATAAAAACGGACCTGCCAAATAGCTGTGCACTTCTGATGAATAAATATTTGTAACAAACGGAGGGGTGTATATCGGAGATAAACAGACAGACAAATGGATAGACAAACAGACAAGTATACTCTGTTACTAACGTCAATGTATCAATTGTCAGCTAAGGTCATAATATACGCATATACATCTCAAACACAAAAAAAGTAACGAAAATCTCTCTCTCAGAATGTGATCACATAAATCAAGAATCTGTCCTGAAATAGTAGGCAGTAGAATTATCAAGGACGTCAGTGATCCAATGGTAGAATGCTCGCCAACTACACATATCTTCCGGCGTTCGATCCCTGGCTGACGCACGCTTAAACTTCACTAAGCTCGATAAAGAGGGGAGGGTTGGGCGTGAGGCGAACAACTTCACTGCGTAAAAATAAAACTGCTGCAATTGAAACTTCGAAGCATAAGCTTGAAGACTTGTATTTCACTTGGAACGCGTGCGTATTGCCGATGATTCCCAAACTAGGATGAAACAGCAGCTGTCCAGTACTTCCTGGTTCTCAATGCTCCTCTAACTGATATCAATCCGTGATCAGTTCGTAAAAACAAAACCAACCCTCACAAACCAAACTATAGAAAATTAATCTGATGCTCGCTAGTTACAGGCTACAGGATGGAGTTTCCTGGAGTTCTAGTGAGAAGTCGTGTCCAGTGAGGTCCAACCAGATGTCACGTGTGAGGATGGATGTCCCACCAGCGACAATGGTTGGGGTCGCGCTAAATCACGAATTGGTAGAAGTTAGAATTCATGGGCTAGCCATTGAATCGGGTCCCAGTGGCTGAATGGTATACGAGCCAGCTTGCCTTGTAACCGGAAGGTCCTGGGTTCGAACCCTGGCAGTGGGTGCGTATTGTCGATGATTCCCAAACTAGGATGAAACAGCTGTCCAGTACTCCAGTTCTGGTTTTCAATAGTTCTCTAACTTATATCAATCCGTGATCAGTTCGTAAAAACAAAGCCAACCCTTACAAACCAAACTATAGAAAATAAAATTATTAATAAAATAAAAGGTCACTAAGAATAGAAACCAAAATACTACATTAGGCATCAAGTTATTGATTCAGATAGATCGAAAACAGAAAAATTTAACAGTAAAGGCAGAAAGCCGAAATACTTAGCCCCACCCTTAAAAATATAAACATTACACTGTCAGAAATATAAGTGACGGGGAAAAGAAGACCACACTGATGCCCACAACATCGTCTTTTTCCTACAGTGAAACAAACATATAAACGAGTTCCCAAGTTTTACTAACATTCAAAGTACTGACAAAATAAAAACAATAGTGTGGCACAACATCGACCGACTTTAATTGTTCAAAACACTCACAAAACATGCTCCACTTAAGAATAAATCAGTAGGTAAATCACCGAGGTACAATTATTTGGATAATTAAACCAGCATTGCTATCTGATTGATGTGATAACCCCCCCCCCACACTCAACCCTTCCTTTTCTCGGGATTATTACAGCCTAGGTGAGGTTTAGGAGTGCGTCAGTCGGGAGTCGAACCCGGATCACGTTTGTGGTTAGCAGACGTTCTATTATTGGATAACCAACGCACAAAGTCATAGTTAATTATATCAAAAGAGGTAAATAAAAGGATTCCCAGCACACCACTGTAGACTTTTATCAAAAGTTACCACCTTCTCTGGCTCCATACTGAAGATCAAATGGCCACCCGGCCAGAAAGAATTAGCAGCAAGAAACTCTACCTGGAGACGAACCAACCAAGAGCCGATTGCTTAACAAATGTGCAGGAGGAAATGGAGATAGATCGGGTATACACTGAGGAGACCATCGAATGATATCGCGCACAGTGCAGGCCATCGCTCGAGTGGAATCTGAATAGGAAGCAACGAGAAGGTCATCGGTGCGACGGTGATATGGAGGAGATCGTGTGGTGAGGAGGAGGAGATGAGAGATTATGGGGAGTCGTGTACCCAGATGAAGAGGACAGTAGAGAATAGAACTAAGTGGAGATGTGTTGTTAAAGCCCTATGTTCCGCTCGAAACCCAAGGGTGGGTGTGTGTGTATTCGAAACTGTTATTTCTAATACATACAGATACAAACGAAAATAAAAACACAATGACTGAAACATAGCCCAATGAAAAGAAAGACAATTAAGCATGGATTACCTTTAATTCAGATAAGCGTTGTTGACTTTCTAACAGTTTTCTTTGTTCATCACCACGTTTTATAATTGCTTCAGTCTGATGCGGAGGTGGATGATAGTATTTACAGTAGGAAAATTTGCAGAGCTTCCGCTGTGTAGAAAAATAGAGTATGTGTGTAAAGGAAAACATGTTAATAAACACATTTGAAGGTAGAACAGAAACAGAACAATAAAAATAATAAAAGGCAACGAAAGATTATACAAAATATATAACTTTTCACTGCCTTTTATTATATAAAATATATATTCAAAGTACTTATGTACTGAGCAGCAGTTCGATGTCTCCTTCTTTATGTTTCTGAGAAATGGTCATTAAAAGTGGAAAATGTAAAAATTCAAACTGTCTTCGATCACAAATAACTGCGTTCTATCGCCCGTCTTAAGTGATATAATCTTATCTTATTCCATTACGTTCCCCTTGGAACATAGGGCTTCAAGCTAGATCTTTGAAGTTTCCGTAGCAGTGGTGTTTATTTTTTTTTTACGGGATGGGGTTGCTAGCCTCATGCCCAACATTCTCTCTTTACCAATGTTATTACTGGCTTAGCGAGGTGAAGGAGTGCGTCGGCCGGGGATCGAACCCCGGACCACATGTGTGGTTGGTCGGTGAGTATTTTACCGCTGAACCACCGACACACTAAGTGTTATAATAATAGTGAGTAGTACTGAAGTTAGATGTAGTGTCAGATAAGGAGAAAAAAATCAGCCGATGAGACTGAGAAGCCATATGGATTGAGATGGCTAGGACATGTGTTACGCATGCTCAGCTATAGCCTTCCTCAACTAGTAATGTTGGCTGACATAGGATTAGGCTGGAAATAAAGTAGGGATGAGTACATCAAAATGGTGTGCGTCGGTGGCACAGAGGTAGAATGCTCACCGACCACGCAGGTGGTCCGGGGTTCGATCCCCGGCCGACGCACTCCTTCACCTCGCTAAGCCAGTAATAACATTGGTAAAGAGAGAATGTTGGGCATGAGGCTAGTAACCCCATCCCGTAAAAAATAAACACCACTGCTACAGAAACTTCAGGTCTCTAGCTTGAAGCCCTATGTTCCACTGGGAACGTAAAGGAGCAAAAAAACGTCAAAATGAGTACATCAAATCCATGAAATCTTTGGCAGATGGATTGAGCCACGTAGGGAGGTGTAAAATGCCAGATCTGGGTCCTTGAAATGCTAAGAACCAATCACTTGAGATCATTGGATTGGAAACAGAGCTCAAAACTGTTCTCAATGGCGCAGATGAATTCACCCATTGCAATCTATTGCATTCATTAAGTTTTCGTATTTCTCCATGTTAGCATTCTTTCATCCATACCTCTGCACTTATTATAGTTCCTTTCAATCTCTTTCTTTTCTCTCTTTTTGTCTACCTTTGTGTGCTACACGGAGTGTGGTCACTTGAAGTACTTCGCTTCTGTGCAAAATTCTACGTTGATACTCAATCGGTCACATAAAATATATCAGCAAACAATCGGGTTAACAACAAAGTGAGTCCAGTCACATCCAAAGAACTTTCTAATTAGTTTGAGCACCAAAAATGAACGATTTCAGTATATTTTTGTAGACAACCAACATGACCACCACCATCGTCAACAAAACAAAATTTTGTCCAACTGATCTTAACTGCTGATTTGTATGCAAATCATTCTGCCTATTATTCTCTATTGTTTCCCCTTAGTTTTTCCCGGGCTACTTAAGAAAGACTATAACATATTACGCAGGATGTTAAAGGTTGTCAGCAGGGTAAGCAACGTGCCACTTAACCAGCTTGTTAATATTCTGGTCGACAGGCACTTGGACTCATGGGAAAAGTGGGCCAAATCCATTCTATCTAACTCACACCACCCTCTTCACTCACAACTCTCCCCTTGCATCTCATCAGGTAAAACCAGAAGCCTATATAGAAAACTATATGCTCGCACCAGCAAGTACAAAAACTCAACCATACCCTGCTTAGCTCGTGTTCTGTGCGATAAAGAAAGCATTAGGCGTGACACCTATAATTCATTAATTAGTCAGTAGAACAACTGGATCTCGTCTCTCCAACTCATATATGGCATACAGGTACAACATTTCCTTTCTTTCTTTTCCTTTTCTCTCTCTCTTTTTTCCGTTATGCTCTGCTTTGTTTCTTTCTCTCGCTTACGCCAGTAAATATGACAGCACCTACTTTTCTAACACCTTCAAAAACTGTTCAACTTTGGCTTTGCTACCGACATGCAATATGTTGTTGTCGTAATGAACTGAGATTTCCTTAATCTATGTAGAATTCTACTTATTGATAATTTACTAACTGGATGCAATGCTGTAGTAAAAATGCTGGAATTCCATTCTGTATCACAAGTACTGTTTTGGAATAAAGCAAATTATTATTATTATTAATTCTCTTCAAATAGCACATCACTGACAATTCATCTACACTGATGCTTTTCCAAGCAGAAGAGTTTTCCACACAATTGAGCTGACGAAGTTCCCCTTCCCAAATAAATCAGTGGAAATACACAAATCATGTTTCCTTCGATAACTCGAATACAACACCGGCTATCAACTAGTGGATGACAAGTTCTCATGTCACTCCACGCATTGAGGTATCCAGACACATTAACAACATATAACGCATGTGTCTGAGACTGAAAACATCTATCTCTTCACACTGAATGCAAACAATGCACCAATCCTATTATGTTCAAAATCGCTTTGAAACTCCACACTTATGTCCTCCGACTTTCAACTCGTTCTATCCCCGGTTTTAAGTGGTATAATATAGTCAGTAATATCCAGATTAGTGTTAGGTAATGAGGGTCAGCGAGTGGAGATATGGCTCATTCAGGCAATGGGTCACAAGTTTGAGTCTCGTCTCGTCTACTTCAGCATGAGCGATTCGACGGTATCACTGGCCGTCGCACAATACATGTGACTATCCCTGCTAGTTGGACTTAAACGAACAAAAACGTATTCTGTAAACTACATTTTTCAATTTTACTTCTATCGTTTTTCATCTTACGAAAAAAAAAACAACTAAGCTTAATAATACATTCTGTTATACTAAACGAAAAATGGTTGAACCATAAGCTTTTCTTTATATTGAAAACGACTAGAACAGAAACAATGTCATTATGCACTTCAGATAATATACACTATAGAGAATTTTGTCGTATTGTCACTATTTAAAACAGCAATAAGATTTTATGGTATTGCCATTAATGGATTTTTCACATGAGTTGTGACTCATAGGTTCACTCTATAGTGTGACAACAGGTTTGAACTTAACTTTAACTGTGAGAGAACATGAACAGTCAGATTGTATGATTGACCCTGAAACATTGATAGTACTGCTTTCCTAGTGCATTTGAGCATATATACTAAGTGAGTGAGTCACATTGTTTGCAAACAATGCAAAGATAATAATTCAACAGATAAACTGTTTGTGACAAAAACACCAGTATAAAGTTCAATGAACAACATTCGAATCCATCATATGAGTAGAAAAAAAAGGTATTAAAAAAGAAGTATGCAGTAAGAACCATTCTTAGAATAACTGTGTTATCTATCGATCGATTATTATTTTAAATGTACAGATGCCAGTCATAATATCGACCAATCCAGTATGCTTTACGCAAAAAGCTCATAGTGTAAAACAATAATTCATACAAACGGGTCTGAGAAAAAAACAATGACATCCGGATACTAAGTACAATGAAGAAATAAAGAAATGAATATTAAAAATTTGTACACAAAATGGCGTGAGATTACTTCTATTACAAATCCGAATAACTTACACAAAAGTCATGATATATATAATCATCACCATTCACAAGAATTCACAGTCTTCCATCAAAGAAATTGGAATAAACCTAAATATGACGAACGTTTACCACTAGAATCAAATGAAGTCTCACAACCATCTGGTACATTACCTGCCGACGCTTTGATGAGTAACCCACAGCCTGGAACTCGCATAGACAATCAACCATCCTCAGAAGAAGGAATTAATAACTATCCAGAATTACGAAAAAATGAAAGTGATCATTTAACAGGAAATACATTCTATCAATCATCTCTGGGAAATCCAACTGTTGATCAGAATACTCAAAACCAACCAGCTTCACGTATTTCTACTCGAGAAGAAGAGAAATATTTCATACCTAGCAGTCCAAAATCGAACGCTCCAAGGATGATACAAAGTGAAAATGGTCGTACAGTTCCTGAAAATGCTTTTCGTCGTTTAAAGCATATGGGATTAGCAGAAGACGCAACCGAAAAATTGCCTGATTTACCACCTCCTGGTGACCTGGGCGCAAATGGATATCCAGAATTAAAAAGTAGTAGTAAAAAACCGACCAAAAAATATCCACCTAGCAAGGATTATCAACTAACACGATGCCTATGCTGTTGGACAACATTTATAATGATTGTCATCGCACTATGTGCTATCGGTACGTTAATTTTGGCAGGTATATGGTATGATGCAAAATGCCTAACAATAAGTATAGGTCTAGTGATCTTGAATCTATTTATTTTAGTAATAATAACTTTAGAATGGATAAGAATGTGGCTTTGGCGTCAACCTTCAGAAAACTACAAGTGCAGAAATTCACGAGCTGCAGCTTTCTTAGTCCCTAAGGAGAATGCAGGATCTGCATCTTTAGAACCATCTATAGGTATTGGATTTCCAAATATAAACTCACAACCGATGGTTATGCCAGCTTCTCTGTTAGGATATACATATTCACCTGTTTCGAAAAAACAAGCTAGCTTTCTTTCTCCGGGACCTCAGCAACGTCTATATGATATACCACAGTTTGTGTCTGCTATATGTTTATTGATATTATACATTTTTGCGGTGATTTGTATATGTGTGACATTTTCAGAGTCAGAAATAAAGGTTGACAAGTGTAAGTCAATTTCAGAAGTTGGTTTGGGCTATAGTATAATGTTAGCTATTCTCATTGTCATACGAATGTTACTGTGTTGTCGAAGTGATGCATGCCAAGGATTGTGCTACATAATGAAAAACAAAGGTTCTGATAGACGTGCTTTCGTCCCGATTGTTGCTGTAAACCAGTTGCACCAAGTACTTCCAGGCTTAGAACAAATGCATGCAAGCAGTAATGTTAACACAAGAAACTCTCAGCCAACAGGATGGCTAACCAATTTAGCAATATCTTCTGATCCTAGTCAACAATTGAGCATGATTCAGCCAATGCCTGTCAAATTCTCGCAAGATATTACACCTTAGAAAGATAGAGATAATTGCCCATACATAGGACAACTAATGGGTTGGATTAAATATACTCTAGTAGCAAAAACTTCCTTATTTCTATGACATGACTAAGAGATGCCCTTACTAATAAAAATATGATTAATTGAATGAAACCAGACTTCTTTCTAAATCATCTAAAAAGTAAACTTGCAAACTTTAAAAGAAAGGAGTAATTATTAACTCAGGAAAAACTCACTTTGATAAAATCATAGCATACTGTCACATAACCATTATCCACCCGAACAGTTGCCGGTGGATGGGCATACTGACATGTATCTCCCGAAATTGTGCAATGAAAACTTTTTTCATCCTCATGTTGTATTAAATTTGAAGAACTAGCATCACTTGCATTAGAATCTTCTGATTTTATGGAACATTTAGTTTCACCAGTCTTTGACTCATTGTCAGATTGGTTAGAATTAGTTTGTGAAGAATTCGATGTTCCCAAAACTGATGTACACACGCGTAGCTTAAGCCATCGAGAATCTCTGCTACCTGATGAAATATGGTTTGAATGAAGTGGTACAGGAGATGCTGAGGTATGTTGAGTAGTTGGAAAACCATTGGAGGTAGAATGTAGAGAGACGAGAGATGATGATAGTGAAGAGGATCCTGATAAACTGGAATTATTTACATTGCCGAAATTTAGTGTATTTTGATGATTCTGAAGTGCAGGTGTAGTTTGAATAGAGAAGGTGACTGGTGTAGACTGAGAAAGATTATTAGGATTCGCAAAGCCTGCGATAGCTAACAATGGTTTCGTAAGGAATGGTACAGCAGATTGTAAGACATTGAGATCAGCTTGATAAGATTTACTTGGTTCCGAAACGACACTTGACGAACAGGGAATTGGGAACGGGTTTGTCAGTGGAGAATGCCTTTAGATAAAAAGTGGACAGTTAACAGACGTTGTTTATAATTAGAATGTAATGCAGTTATTCAATGCGTAAAAACCAGCGTCTAAAAATCATATGTTGCTTGTGAATATATAAATATGTATAAAAGCAAAAGTTTTAAAAATTGTACTTCAATGCATTCGCAGGATAGATGTTGGAAGAAACCAGCTGAGACTGCCGATCTACTTAATGATGATAATAAAAGCGAAGCACACGCCACTTCACATAACAGACCATTCAGCTATCGATGGTAATCATAGAAATACACTAGAATTTATTTTGCTACTATCATACGGAAACTTGTCATATTTTAAAAACCACAATAAAGATGTGGTTTCGAGGGGGAGGGGGAATTGAAATTTACACGTTACATGCCTCAACCAACTGTCCCGATAGTGATTTGAAGTTCTGAAGCGTCAAATAACAATATCGGTTTTCCACCAAAAAGATAGTAGATGGACAAAAGTGAACATTGAAACCAATCCAATACATTTTTCCTAACAAGCAATTGTTATCGCAAAAGAGTGGTTATAAGTCTGTGAACCAGGCTTTTCATTCTCTTCAAATATCTCCCCATACAGAATTAGATTAACGACACTGATAGTCCAACATTCAAGATTAACTTCGTGCAGTTCTACGGAGAAGTTAATAAAAATGATCGGGTTCACTAAGTCAGGAGTGAGAAGTGACCCGACGACAATATTGCAAGTATATGGAGAAGTGGTAAAAGTTGGAAAACGTGACTTATCGGTCTACGATATGATGGCTAGATGGTGACATGACAATTCTGAATTCTGACAAGTTTGAGCACTCCTGAATAGTCCTAAGATGGAAAGATGCACATTCACATTTTCGGGAGTGTTTTATGTAGTACTATGGAGATCATAAACAACCTAATAATAAACCGACGACTAACGCCATTTATGTGATCCTATCCAAACTTCTCTGTGCTCAAAATGAAAATGACACATTACAGTCAGTTAGTCGAGAATTGGGTACTTGGTTGAATTCCGATACCATTTTGTGTACAAGATTTGTTATGAGTTTTGGTGATTATCATGGTAGTCCTCTTGGTTGAAATTATTATATTATTATTCCCTTGCGTTTCGAGTGGAACACAGGGCTTCAACAACACATCTCCACTTTGTTCAGTCTTCTGCCGTCCTCTTCAGCTGGGTCCACGTTTGACCAAACTGTCTCACCTCTTCCTCACGATCTCCTCCATGTCACCCTAGGATGACCCACTCATCGCTGCCCATTTGGATTCCCCTGGAGCTATGGCCTGATATGAGATGTCATTCGGCGGCCTCCTCAATGTATGCTCGGCTGAAATGATAGATAGATATTAGCAACTCTTTTTCCTTCTTCTGATATTGAGTTGGATACAAAGGTACCTGCTAGTCTTTCAGAAAACACTAACGAATGTTTATACTTTGGACATACAAGACCCCATGATGGTAGTGAGTACAGTTGTTTATGGTTAAGAGATATTGCCTATCAAACTGACTTTTTGAGAGATTCTCGTAATTCCTTTTACCCGGCTTTCATCGCTACATGGCTATCACAAGTTTGCGCAAAACACCAACATAGCAAGGCCTGGTAAAGACAATGAGCAAGTTAGATAGGAGCAGAAACTACATATGCCAAGATCAACAAGTTTTCCGACATCATCAGGTCGACCGACAACCAGAAGCATGACTTCAATGAAGCTGTTTTTGAAACGAATGATACGCTGAACTTCAACCTTCAGTGATAGCTGGAAAGTTGGGCGGATTAACTTAGTTGGGAATCAAAAGATATCCCTTAAGCTTTATTAGATCATCATTACTATTGCTGTGTATTTTTCTGAGAAGCGTCAAAAATATAAACTGTTATAACGCTTTAAGGTCACAGCGAAATTGTCATGTGGATAACGAATAAAATGTAAAAACTAAAACTGAGTAACAATTAACAGGGAGTAAAAGACCAGTCAAACTATTGTAAGCCGATAGTAACCACGCAATACACAATAAATTCCCGTTATGAGGAAAGGATTATCTCTTGGTCAATGGGTGAAATGCCTAAAATGTAGAAATGAGGTGGAAACTAACATGCAAACAACTGTAATTCAAACACACCACTGTATCATTTAAACTGTTGCAACAGTTTGAACTCATTTAACTGGGACAACTGCCTCATGTACTAGATTAAGGGCTCCACATGATATGAGAGATGATGATACTGTCCAGTAGTCCGGACAGAAATAGATGGGGCGGGAGCCTGACACGGAACTCTGACTAAGGACCAAGAGCTTAGGTTAGTGAGCCACGTCTCCGTAACAACTATTGTGGAGTTGCGGCTCAGTGGCCTAGACGCCCAACTTTAACCCCTCTTCATCTACTGAGGTTTACGTAGACAGAAAGCAACACTGGTCCTCATGCAATAAGTGTGGCTTAGTGTCAACTGTATGGGAATGCAAGTGTTTGCTGAATGAGTACACTGCTGGCAGCAGCTGCTATCTGTACTGAAGGGAACACTCCACCGACAAAATAATGTTACCTGATCTATGAATGAAAAGTTGGAGTTTACGTGTTATGGTCTATCTGATCTCTTATAATTTACTGACAACTATCTTTCAGATAAGAAAGCCTTTATCAGTTCCTCATACGGATACACAGAATAGTTGATCTTCAACCGGCATGTACACTAGTCAAACCATGTACTTTTTTATGCTAACTCTAAGCATGAATTGTAGCCTCATACACAAATTCGTAGCCTAATTTGAACTAAGCCTATGCACTACTGTCTTTTATTCAACTCGGTAGCGTCGGTGGCACAAAGGTAGAATGCTTACCAACCACACCTCAAGTGGTTCGGGGTTCTATCCCTGGCCGATGTACTCCTAGACTTCGCTAAGCCAGTAATGGGGAAGATTGGGCCTGAGGAGGCTAGCAACCCCATCCAGTAAAAATAAATACCACCGCTACTGAGACTTCAAAGCTCTATTTTGAAGCCCCGTGTTCCAGTGGGAACGTAAAAGAATAAAATTTTAAAAAATATAAATAAAGTGCTACATAATGAGGGCTATTTTTAATTATGGAAAGAACTCCACATATACAACCATCCTACTGATAGCAGATTATTAATGTTAATCTCCTCTAATCCATATGTAAATACGGTGAAGTTAAACAATCATAGCCGAAATCACAGGGATCCTAAACAACCAATCAGAATTCAGATGCAAAATATCTAATAATTGCTGAAAAAAATGTTTTTAAAAACATTGTTAACATGATATTACACTGTATAATAGTCGCTTATGTGTTGCAAGTGTCTGCAAGCCACTACACGGATTATCTACACAGAAAGCATACCATGCGCATCTGTCCAAGTGACTAAATTATGGTACTTTGGGATCCATTGACATTTCTGACACTGTTCTTTAACCTATTCAGATAAGTTAACTTTTAGCAGCCACCACCAAGGACAAATGATCATAGCAAACCAACTTTAAAATTAAGGAATTTCTTCATTAACTGTATTCCAACACATACAGACCACCCCTCCTCCTTAAGGTGAAGTTAATGACCTTGAACGCACCAACCATATGATAACAGCAGATTTTGCACATAAATTCATGAAAACAACGAATTAAAAGGCATGAAACTGTTGCACAGGGTACCTTTCTCTGACATGTGACAAAAATATCCCTCGGTTTTTGGATTGAAGCATCAATAGAATAATTTAACCAAATTCTATACATGAAATTATCTAGGTCTTCTAACCCAGACAATATCCCTAATCTTTCCTTAACCTAACCCTACCGAGAAAAAATCCCTAAACTAAACGTATTCTAATTCGAACCGACCCCAATGTAGAGGGCAATAGTAGAGAAAAGACATCACAGTCAAATGACCTTGAACCAACCAATCACGTCGCCCAGCATTACAGATGAGTGCTTTTCATAATCTTCGTTGCAAGTTTCGACCTACCTTAATCCTACCCTAACCTTAATTCTGATTCAGGGTGAAACTTGTAACGAAGATTATGAAAAGCGTCCATCTGTAGGCAAAGTTCAACGATAGCGTCCCAAAGGATGAGAACGCACCAGTGACCTTGGGCCGACCAATCATAAAAATGAGGAATTTTCACAAAAAAATGACGCATATTTACAAGACAATGCATGAAAACACATGACACAGTATGTTCCTGTGACAACTTAAAAATGTGTCCCATTTATAATGAAGAGTATCAGTTGCTAAGTTATATTAGCTTCTCTACATGTATTCACCAAGGTAACTGAAGACGAGCTGTTTTTGTGTATCGTTTATCTCTCTTACCCTGTAGAGCACTCTTCCCCGAAATCCCTCCGTCGAATTACTATGGCTTCGACGACTACTTACTAGGAAAATGTGGATAATAAAACAAATTCAAATTAATGACGTCAACTCTAAATCTATGGCAAGAGTAAACAATAGACACCAAAGTCAAATGACATCGATTAGACCAATTAGATAGCTCAGCATTACAAATGGTTGCTAGTCATTATCCTCTTAGAAAATGTCTCCTAGGTTTGGTTTTTGACTTCTCTGTGGAAAATGGGTTGATAGGGAGGAATAAAACATGCCTATGTGGAGGGATAATGACTCTGAAATAGTACTGCCGGGTTATTGATGGTTATGCATTCAGATGCAACCACTTTACAAAGCTCTTCCATAGTAATATATTGCGTATATGCAACCAGTATCTGCTACAGCTGGAAAAATAAAGAATACATTGGTTTGATATGTCTATAACTATTTCTATGAGAATCTAGGGTCAGATTTTGCAGCATATTAGAGATATATACCCTGCATGATTAATTTTTATAGCATACTTATCATAGATACACTTCTTTGTGAATTAAGTACCACTTTTCACTCAGAAGAATCTGATTGGCCGTCTCAAGGTCATTTGACTTTGGTGTCTATTGTTTACATCTTACCCTATCCCTAGTCATAACCCTTACCTTGATCTTAACCTTAATTACAACCCTTATCCTAAACTTAACCCTAACGAGCTATTAACACATTGTCCAAACAGTACTTAAAAACGTGATCTGGGTGAAATTTGCCCCTTATTTGGTGAATAGCATTGATATTTCCACTAGGTACCGTTAGCCAACGATTGACGTGCGTTCAAGGTCACTAGAGCGTTCGCACTCGGGGATGCTATTGTCGAACTTCGCCCATTTATAATGCTGAACGAACTGATTGGTTGGTCCGGGGCCATCTAACTGTAGTGTCTATCCTTTACTGGTTAAAGTATTCATCCCAGAAACCTATATGAAGTCTTTTTACCTTCAATGTTACTTATATTGAATAATAGAAAGAATGAATTTAAACTGATAAGATGCGATTTGACTGTTATAAGACTTAATTGGATAGTGGATGTTCAGGCATCCAAATATGTAAGCATAATCACCACTGTGCAGCTGGCTTCACCATTGTTTAACGAATTTCATTATTCTACAACCAGTTACTTGTCAATTGCGTCAGTGGCACAGCGGTTAGGACTCTCGCAGACCATGCACATGGTTCGGGATTCGATCCCCTGCTGACGCACACACAATATCAATGGTCGGCCTGCTAAATTTGGGCTACTGATATCACATGCTGAAAATTCCATACTTGTACCAAAAATACAGTGTGAAATCAAGCTATAATCACAAAAAAACTTCCCTCTTTGGAAGGGCAATGAGAGAAAGTGATAACAGGCTAAGTGGTTCATACTGAGACAATTATTTACATGTAACTGAGTCACAAAAATCTAACAGGCCTAAAGTACACAGAATGACTTCAAACAACTGATCAAATCAGCTTCGTTGTACAAGTATCATTGTGATTTTGTTGATCCATTTGGGTGGCACGTGAACGGAATCCAGAGTGATTTTTGAGACATTTGAAAAAAATGTATAGGGGATTCGAGAGATAAATGGATCACAATCAATTGATTGCTCGCTTGGATTGGTATACTATAGTATAGTCAAAAATCGATATATGTAGGATACAAAAGTACGGGTTGTGAATATGACCGTTATTCCCACTTGGTAGAACAATTTGGATAATAATAAAAACAATAATAATAGCTCCAACAACAAAAGCAAAAGGTTTTACTTACAGCATAGCAAATAAGGCGACAAAGTAATTCCGCAAGTGAATTGTTTCAAAGCTGTTTATTTAATATAAGAGGTATCCGGTGCATTTCTTTGGACATCACAACTATCTATGACTTTGTACAGCCGCTAAATGTGCAAATAAAATAACTATTGACCTTCAGTCACATGGTTAAGGCAGACAAATAAAACTATTCATTCACATAGTGTGGCCTCAGTGGGGGCTGACCTGATTTATGATTGGACGAGAAAAATCATTTGAAAATATATGCAGCACCCAATGGTCCATGATGTAAGGTTAGACAACTAGACATATATATATCTCTGCTTTTTGATTGGTCGAATTTTTCAATGAACTATGTGGTCCTTTTATTGTACATGATAATAAATAAATAAAAAGTTGTCCCTAGCTGTATTTGTTTTTGTGTTGTTAATAGGGTGGATGGAAAAACAGAATTATTTTTCAGACCTTAGTCAGTTTTCTCTTTGTGAAAGCCGTTCATCATGTGCGAACTTTAATGAGAAAAGTCTATTGTGTGTTATAGATACATATACAATAATAAGATAATGGTGCAGTTGAAGGGTTTTTTCTTATCAAATCAGCTGCCAATAAAGCAACCAAAAGTTGCTTACTGATTCGGTTAAATTACAGTATATGGCAGCAAACTTAGTAAATGAATTCATAATGAAATCGATATATATTTGAGATTTGTTTTACGGAGAAGCATATCACATCGGTCCTTCTTTCCCCACTCCCTCACCTTAAACGATCGCAACATGATGAATATAGGCTAATTATTGACACCTAGAGGTTTAAATTCATCTTTGTCCATTACCATTTCATTTTCTTTGGAAAGAATCTTGTTCAGGGATAGTTCTGACAGTAGATAATATCAACCTCATCCTCTCTCGCTCTTTTAACCGCGTTGTATAAGCACTTAAGTTTTTCAACAATGCTATCACCACAATGCATAAAGCAGAACAAAATGATGATTTATAGACCAATGCTGTTTTGTAGCTAAACTAATTTCAGTCAAATGACAAAAAATAATTATCTTGACATTTTAATTTTTTAAAAATAGGACGCTAACAACAACCTTCAAACGAATTTGACCACGGATCGATATCGGTTAGAGAGCCATTGAAAACCAGCACTGGAGTACTGGACAGCTGTTTCATCCCTCCTAGTTTGGAAATCACCGGTAGTACGCACCAACTGCCAGGGTTAGAACCCAGGAGCTTCGGGTTACAGGGCAAGCTCGTATACCATTCAGCCACTGGGACCCGATTCAATGGCCCATTTATGGGACACGGGCGCTAAGTCACGAATTGGTAGAAGTTAGAATTCATGGGCTGGTCAATGAGTCGGATCCAAGTGGCCAAATGGTACACGAGCTTGCCTTGAAACCAGAAGGTCCTGGGTTCGAACCCTGGCACTGTGTGAGTACTGCTGATGACTCCCAAACTAGGCTGATGAAACAGATGTCCATTACTCCCTGGTTTTCAATGTTTCTCTAACTGATATCAATCCGTGGTCAAACTCGTATAAACATATCTAATCCTTATAAACAAAACTCTTGAAATATAACCTTTAAACAATTAGATACATCTTTTAACATAATGTGGGCCATTTCTCCTGACTTTAAATCTTCGCTCGTTTATTAAAACTGATAACACCGTGACTATATTAACAGAATTTTGTGGTTAAGACTAAAAATTCAGAAAGGAGTACTAAACGCTTCTTTTTCTTTTTTTACTTTGAGGCTAGCTCAATGTAAGATGGAGATTTTCTAGAATTTGAAGCTGCTTATTCGTTAATTTGTATAAATTAGTGAATTGATACTCATTTAGTTTCCCATTACAAATAGACATTGCCTTGAGCACCACTGAAAACCAGTGAAAACTACACGCACTGTTTTGTCCCCTGTTGTAAGTCTTCAATATTGTCTATACCGTGTAACAACATACAGGACTGAGTCCCAAACTACCATATCTTGCAACAATCACAGCTGATACCAGTTTGTGACAAAAATTACCCCTAGTGCATGTTAGTAACTCATTATTGATTTCAGGAAATCGTAATTGTGAATCATGACTGGTAAGATCAAATGAAGGTCAAGTGTAGGAAGTACTATTCATCTATTAGACTGTAAACTGTCAGCAGTTTGTTATTATTATAAATATTTCCTTTAATTCCTAGAGGAACATAGGGCTTCAGCCGTGCATCTCCATTGCGTTCGGTTCTCTGCTAGAGTCTTCACCCGGCTACAAGTCTGCCCACACGTTTTCATCTCCTCTTCACATGACCTCCTCCAAGTCACCCACCCTCGCACTGACGACCAACTCGCCGCTTCCCTTTCGGGTTCCACTCGAGCAATGGCTTGTCTAGTGATGTCACTTGATGGTTTCCTCAGAGTATGGCCAATCCATCTCCATTTCTTCCTGCAGATTTGTTTCACAATTGGTTCCTGTTGGGTTGGTTCGCTCATTGCCAGAGATCTCTATTGCTTATCAACTCTGGCCATCTGATCTTGAGTATTGAGCGACGACAACTGTTAATGAAGTTCTGTAGTTTGTTTGAGGTGCTCTTTATGACGCGCAGTGCAAGTCTCAGATCCGTGTAGTAGCACTGACTTCACATTGGGGTTGAAAATCCGGATGTTATTTTTGATGCTGAGTGCTGTTGACCTCCACACAGACTTGAGAGTAATGAAAGCTTGTCTTGCTTTTCCGATTCTTGCTTTGATATCCTCGTCATCAGTTTGGAAGATGATATTCTGTGTGCACCGCTGAAGAGTTCCAAGCAAACCCGAAGTAACTGTCTATATGCTACCTAGTTTTCAATAGTTTATTAGATGATGTTAATTCGTGACCGATAGATCAGAATCAATGAGGTGTGCAGCAAACAAACAGAATCCTTGAACGAACTGTCTCAATCAAGTACATTCAAGAATCCTACATGATTACTAGTTTTAGAGTGAAGTTTTACCAAAGTACTACCATGTGTAAGTGGATGTTTTTCTCATCCCACGTACTTCTCCAACAAGAAAAAAGAAACAACCTATAGAATGATTGTAGATACTACTTATTAGCCAATAATACAGTGATATTTAATTGTAATACAAAGCCAGAAAATCAATATACACAATCACAAATACATACACACAGTTAGTCAATTCATTCTTAACGCCAATCAATGCCAACCATATATATATATATATATATGTTTATTCATTCAATATGTGCGCATTTATAACAGATGCTTTGTTGTTGTTGTTGCTTTTATAAAAAGAAAAAAAAGAGTTTAAATTCATACAGAGTCACATGTTATCGCGATGTCCTTTTAGTCTAGTGGCATTATAACCACATACTTCAGCATTGTTTCTTTCTTTCTTTCTGCTTCTTCTCTTTTCATATTCTCGTTTGTTCATGAATCATGACAAAAGTTATCTGACAGACAATGGCAAGTCAAAGTAATTGCAGACAGAATAAGCAAGACTTGAACTTGTTTGTTATTTTAGACAACAAGAGACAGTATTTCATCTTGGCTGCTTTTCTTTGTTAGTTTGTATTTTTTTCTTTCGTTTTGTTTTCCTTATTTCTTTTGGATAACTTTCAAATTGAATCAAGATGAACAGAGACAGGTGGTTTTGAAATTAGTGAAAAAAGGACTGCAAACCTTAAAGCAACTCAATCAAGTTTCTTATTAGTATTAAAAGTGTGATATGAAGGTTTAGTATCAGAATAGACACCATCGTTGCGCGTCACAACACATACAAGTAGCTGGTAAATAAATTTATTGATCACATGATGAGAATACATATATAATCAGTCAAAGTTGCATTTTGAAGTTTATTATCTAGAAACTACACAACCGTTCGTGCGTCAGGGGCCTAATGTTAAGGTGCTCGCCAATCATTCACATCGTTTAGGGTTCGATTCCCAGTCGACGCATCATCAGCACTGAAACGTCAAAGCTTGAAGCTCTATGTTGCACTCGGTGAGCAAAGGAATGAATAAAAAAACCGCACAATTTAGTATATGTGTAAAACTTGGACATTGTAGTAGTATGTCACCCCGTATTAATTTGTTTATTAGATGTATTACACAGTGAAACAGTATTATTTACTGGATGACGTTTATATACACGCATACCGATTAATAAAAGTGGTCAGAAGTGAACTTATTTCTAGTGAAGAATTTGAACTTAGAACAAAAATACCAGTAGAAGATACAATGCTAGGAGTGCACCTATGGATGACTTCTACAGTATTTAAATTTCAAGAGAAAATATACAAACAGACTCAGGGAGTTGCCATGGGGTCACCGATATCCCCGATGGCGACAGGTATATTCGTGGATAGGTGAGAAAACTTAGCGATTGAAATTTTCAGCCCCACCCCTAAAGTATGATGGAGGTATATATAGATGACACATTCACTGTACTTATAACTCAGGACATAAAGAGATTTTTCCGACACATCCAATTGAAGGTGGAGGCAATTCAATTCGATTATGAATTGGAAAGTTAAGAAGGGGAGCTTCCAATGTTAGATTGTAGAGTAAAAAGGAAAGAAGATAGAAAGTTAAACACTAGTGTTTACATGAAACTTACACATTCAAACCAATATTTGGATGCTGGACCATCCCACCCTATATCAGTAAAAACAGGATTGGTGAGATTTTTACGTAATAGGGCTTCAAGCTTGAAGTTTCAGTAGCAGTGATGTTGTTGTTTTTACTTGGTGGAGTTGCCAACCTCATAACCAACATTTCCTCTTTTCTGACTTACTAGCCTCTAGTAAACTAAGTGAGAGTTAGGAGTGCACCGGCTAAGAATGGAATCCAGACCACGTGTGTGGTTAGTCAGCATTCTACCTCTAGACCATTGACGCACTTATATGATTTATACTACTGATTCATATCAGTAGTCTTTAAAATGGTTTCTTCAGCCAGCTAGCCTCGAGGGAGAGAAAGAGAGAGATGAAGCAGAATATGTAGAGAAGGGAAAAAGTCTCTGTGAACAAAATATTATGATGTCTAGACAAAACCTGAGTAAAGGTCACCAAAATCAATAACATGTCAAGATAAGACAGCTTTTCCTTCCCTCTGCTCCTCATCTTTACTTTCCCCTAGCTTTATCTTATTTTTTTTCATCTGGATATAAGGATATATTATCACCAAAATTAGTAAAGTAATTAAATATATGGAGAAAGAGGTTTAGTTTGTGAGGTTGATTAGGGTTTTGTTGTTAAGCCATTCATCAAAACCTCTCGAAACTTCTTTCAAAATTATGATATATAATTAGTGTGTTTTCGTGTCGGTTGTATTTGATTA